GGTTTTGAATAAGTTGTTTTAACATTATACATTCATCAAATGTCATAAAATTTGTGAAATGTTTTATAATTTTGCTCACCACTTTTGAACTAGCATCTAAATCAAACCAAGCAATTTCAGTTCGTAAATTTATCCACTGAAACACTTACTAACATTAGGAAAACTGGTTCTCAACAACTGTAATCCTGGATATTAGAATTATAAAAAATCGCCTATAAAGAGACTTCAGGAAGATTTTTGTTCGAGGCTATTTTTATTTTTTTGATAGAATGTGCAGCAACTTTTTGGCAGAAGATTACATAAATTTGTAAGGTTTTTTTCTCTTGAAGTCGAAAATTTAAAACTGAAAAGTCTGAAACGTATCTGTTTCAGACATAAAATTACTCATCAGTTTTCAAAATTCACAACTAAATGTGTATAACCGTAAGAGAATGCTTTAAAACGCGATGTCAAATATATATATATATATATGACAGAGCCCAGGCCCACTGGTAAAATGAGAAGAACACATCTCATATATATCTAAAATAACTTCTTAATTATTCTTCAAACATATCAAATCCAACATGGCGGCCCTTTGGTGCGCCACCGAGTGGAATTAAAAACAACATTGCTGCGAGGAGTCACCAGCAATCTTTCCGCTTACGCTCTTTCCGTGTACGTCAGCGTTCGCTCTACCTTTAAGTAGTCTTTATTTACCCCCAAATCCCTACTCGATAGTAAAGAGTTCGCCCTATTTCTAATTATTATTTAATTAATTTTGAAGCTAAACTTTCCAGACCTGACATATAGGGGTGTTATAAATAAAAATTTCCGCGTTTTGAACTGTGATACCTACAGATTTTCAATTTGCCAAGCATGTTTCTTTTGTTGAGCAGAGATCCATTATAAATGGGTTTAGTGGAAATTGACTCCCAAGGGGTGGGTTACGGAGTTTTTATAAAAAAAATGTTCCATTTTAGAAATTTAATTCCTATCCTTTTTAACACGATTTTATAAGTTTCACTTGCATGTAACGGAATCTTAGAACTCGATTTTTACCCACTTAAAAAGATCGGATTCCTTCGAAATTTCGCATACTTGTCAAGGACTGATGACAATACAATAATTTCATAATTTTGTCCCATTGTCCTTTTCAGGATCCGCAGGAATAAGGATAATCAGATTTGGCGACAATTCAAGATAAAACGTCCAGATTTGGCGATTTATTGCATATATCATTTTTAAATTTGGCGACTTGTTCCATGTACCATTTCCAGATATGGCGACTAATTTCATACATCATTTCCAGATTTGGCGACTTGTTTCAGATCTAGCGACTAAAGAATAAGGTGTAACCCTAAAGCAACTGTTTTGAATTTAAAGCTAATTTTATGCAAGTATAAAATACACTTGCGGTTAATAGAAATAAAACAAAAAAAAGTTTTTTGTATCTGAGAAATTCGAGGGTGGGTGTGTGTTAGCAATTTCTAAGCATAATATAAACATTTTTCTGAAAATGAAAATAAAAAAAAAGGCTCGTGCATGTGGAAAAAAAATTATTTGCGTTCTAAGTGCTAAATATTTTTTTATTTTTATAAAGCAATACGTTTAGAAGTGATGATACGAATTAACATGAAAGAAACACGTTTAAAAGGTGAATAAATGATTGACACTTCACATTACCATGCTTTTATTAACTCGCTTTCTTTAATGTCTGTCCGGGTGGAATTTTGTAATTGATTTTAAACTGTGTGACTTCCCGAGGAGCTAGAGACTTGAAATTTGGACCATAGATGAGAAGTGGATAACAATGCATGAAAATGTTAAAAAAGAAAACAAAAACGAAAAGGAGAAATTTTATAATTTTTAGTCCGTTATATAAAAACATGGTACATTAAAATTTTTTTTTAATTCTAACTTTTTCTTCTTTACACACTTTTACTTGTTTGATCTGTTCAAAAGAGACTGAATCTATTATAACGATACGGGACTCATCCGAGGCCCCCGTAAGCGGAGAGAATAAATTCACTTCAGACCCATTAATTAATATCCATTGTAGAGCAAGACTAATTCCACAGCCACGTAATTCCGGCTCCAAATATCTAACTCAAGGATAAATTCAACTATGAATAGTTGATAGTTTAAAAAACTAAAAAACACTCTTTTATTGCAGTTTGAACTAAAAAATGAAAAATAAATTATAGTTTAAAAAAAACTAAAAAGCACGGTTTTATATTGAATTGAACTAAAAAGTAAGAAAATAATTCTTAATATAAGAATAAAATGATGAACGAGAAAATTAATATCATTGGGGTAAAAGCGTGGGGTGCTTTTTACTACATTTTTACCCTAACTCTGAATAGAAGTTATAGAAATTTTAACAATTGATACATTTATAGAACACCCCACGCTTTTACCCCAATGATATTAATTTTCTCGTTCATCATTTTATTCTTATATTAAGAATTATTTTCTTACTTTTTAGTTCGATTCAGTATAAAGCGTGCTTTTTAGTTTTTTTAAAACTATAATTTATTAAATCAAGAAGTGAGGGTTATATGAATGTTTTATTACAACCGAAAACTTAATTCTAAGACTTAAATTTCCATAACTTAAAAAATATGCAGATATTACTATTATGAAATACCCAGTGAAGTGGGAAGGTAGTGACTAGTAATTTTAAAAAGTTCACAGAATTCTTAAGTTAAAACTACCGATAAGAGTTCTTGAAGAAGATATTTCACATTAAGAAAAAATACATATGTGCAACAATCTGAATCGCAACTTTTCAAAAATGCAACGTTTTCACTAAGTCATTTATACCCGTCATTGTTTCTTATTTTTTTAATAAAAAAGTAGGCATAAAAACCGCGTTAATAGTCTTAATTAGATTCTTTCTATTCATTTCACTTCGTTGAGTGCTGAGTTCCGTTTCCTTTCACTTCCAGCGCCTTACGATTGTTTGCTTCGATTTTCTTGAAAATAAAATCACATCCGCCATTTGTTCAAACAATGTGTGAAAAGAAGTGTTTGACAGACGGTTTATTGCCAAAACACGTTTCCTGATGTCTCATCACTAAATAAAATTCCCTTTGACCGGAAAATGGAACACAAGATAATTAAAGGAAACGAAAGCCAGCTCTCGGGATGATACTAAGTTGAAGTGTGTAGTCTTTTTTTATTAATTTTGCTTCTCTGATTAATTTATTTAGACCCGTTTTTCACAAAAAGATACCTTTTGTAACTTAAAAATAGACAACTTTTTATCGAATCGAATCAATCTACTTTAGAAGATCTTTGGACAGCGTTTTATAAGTGTTAAAAGATTTCCTATACATGTAACTAAAATAAAAACACAATAAATTAAATAAAAGTAGGTCAAAGCTACAAAATTAAATTAAAATTTTATTTTAAAGTGGCTGTATGGAATTTTCTTTATTAACAAAATGAATCCTATATAGACCAAACTTTTAGACTCACGAAACCTTTAAAACACTATAAGGTGTTTTCGTGGAACCCCATCCTAGACTTCAAAGAATTCATTTTAAAATAATATTGAAAGTAGCTCAGCATGTTATAGGTACTTTAAATAAAGCAATTTAAGAAAAATACTATATAGATTATTAACATTTTTTAATGTAATATTAATGTTATTTAATACAGGTGTCATTTTGTACACAAAGTGTCGAACTCTAGGTCTATTGAAGCTATTTGCTTTCGCATTTCATATTCTCCGCTAATTTGTTTCGATGTTTTGTTCTGGTTGCCACATACACTGAGAAATATTTTTAATTAAATATATTGATCAGAATGGCACTGGTTTATAACTGTGCGAAAAACTTCTGTGTATTCTACAAGTTTACCGCCCAAAATCTAGGAGCTGTTCCTGTTTAAATTTTGATCTTGACGCTGAATCTGTTCATATGTCGATATTTTGTTCTTTCTCCTTCATTGGCAAACCTTCTGATTTATCCACATTCATGCTTGGTTTTCTCCTCTACGCAATATTATTTTACATGTGCTAGATTTTTTAAAAAATGTTCTCTTATAATCTCAAATGGAACAAGTTGTTATAAATTAAATGTAAAATGAATAGATGGCGCTGCAAGTCATTTGAGTTTTTTAGCTTGTAGAATCAGTTATATACTGTTCTTTGTGCTTTGTTCATGTCTTCTGTGTGTGTCGTCTAATAAACCCAAATGTCTGAAAGAATGGATTATATCATCGTATCATATAAAAATATAATGGATATATATCGTCTAAAGGAATAGTGGAATTAAGGATTTAGGGGAAATATATAACACAAGTGCTTTATAGTATAATATTTAACACTCGCGTCTAATTTCCACTCTAATTCCACTTAGTTTTGCCAAACATTGCCCAAACGAATATAAAATTATTTTGTAGAGCCACAATCATAAGCAACAGAATATTTACAATCTAAGTCAGGTATACTCAACCCTTTTTCATGACAGGTATTTCACGCGGGCCGCAACATAGGTATAAGGGAGAAAACACTCTAGTAACACAAAATCAACACAGGACAAAGCAAAATTGTACAAAATATTAAAAATCATTTTTGGCTTTTATTTTAATATTATATTAACCTCTCTTTCTACAAACACACACGCAAAAACTTACTTTTAATTTTTTCACTGATTTATGGGATACTTTCGATTTCCTTTCGTCCATAACCTCAAGCTACTATCTTGTATAAAACAAGTAATATAAAAATTTTTTTGTTTAAGTCAATTCCTGTTTAGGTCAACAAAGGAAAATTTTTATTTTAGTTATTTTTTATTGAATAGTTACAATTAATATAAATATGTAGATATATATGACACAGAATAACAATATTAAGTGACAAAATAGAAAGCGATTTTCCTTGCAATTTCTCATTTTTCCTTCTATATATGGTGTTGGACTATTTTTTTGTTTGCTATTTATTCATTAATTAAATTTGATTATTCTAACAAAATAGTATCGTGAAAAAGAAATCACATTCTCAGAAATTAGGTCATCCCAGGTGGGATTTAAACCCACAACTTTTGGATTGAAAGTTCAACGCGCTATCCATTCCGCTACAGGGACGCAACGAACGATTTTCCTTTCTATATATGTTGTTGGACTATTTGTTCATTTTTAAATTTAATTAATGAATTAATATTTAAAAAAACTGTATTAACAACAATTGTCATCTACTATAAGTTTTAAAAAATCTACTTGAACTTGAATGGATGAATAGAAAGTGTTTTATTAACGATTGAAAATTTGAACAAGATATATATATATATATATATATATATATATATATATATATAAAGGGAGAGAGTAAACTAATAGTAGGAATTGAAAAAAAGAGGTAAATTGACAGATTTGACTGCTTGATTGATAGAATTTCCACTAAATTTTTTAGTACATTGTTCTCCAATAATTGAATTTCTTAATGCTATGGGCCATAATCAGACCACTCCAGAATCTCAGAAGATCGAGCCACTTAGACATTAGGGATGCTCAACAGTGCCGCGATTGAGTATCACTAATTTGTAAATGACTCGATTTTATTACAATAAAATGAAAGTTGTTGAAAATAACTGAAAGAGAGAGAGGTTGTATATAGTGGTGAATTTTTTAAAATTTCCTTTCGGGTTGGGCAATACGGCTTTAGATACTTGCGGCTATACAAATTCCATAGAGAACGTAAATTTATATATTTTACATACCTATTTACAGTTTTCTTTACGAATTTTTATTTTGACTTGTGGAACTTTTTGGTTTCGTGGAACACAGTCTGAAGACCACTGCTGTAGACCATACGTTCCCGAAGTGATTTCTTCGTACCCGTTTCCATGTGAGTGCTGAGGGGGCTCACGGCAAATTGAAAATAATTTGGGTGCGCTTGGACAACTTTATATGAAATCCTTAGCAAACATTTTAAAGAAAAACATTTCTGATCCATTATGAAAATTAATATATTGTGTCATGTTTTTGATGTACTATAACATTTTAGAGTAAAATTTTATATGTAGGTACATAAAATACTAGTGTAATGGCACGCATCACACGGTAGAAGTCGCACCGATCGCGGGTGCGACCAGGAACGTCTTAAGGCATGGGCCAACTGGGCCCGGGGCCTCGGCTACAGTGGGGGCCTCGACTCGGTCTTCTTAACAAGATCATAATTCGAATAATTTCAGCTGTCAAATGTTATTTCCTGTTTTATTTTCTGAAAAACTGGGAATTTCGGACGATATGTCAATTGTTGAGCCTCGTCCATGTATAGGCATAGACCTACCACTATATACCATCATTACTTATTCAATCAAAAGGTGGTAGTCGGTTGAGCTGGTTTGTGCGATTCTAAGTCATGCACATTAATTTGTTTCGTGTTATTGTTTGTACGAGTAGTTGGCAACGTATATCATGTACTGTCTACTTCTAAGGATCATAGATGGAGCCCTCTATTTGTGTATGGGCCCAGGGCCTACTTTTGCGAAAGGGCCAGGGCCTCAAGATGTCTTAAGGCGTCCCTGGATGCGACGTCTATGAGGCTTAAATAGGAACGGTATCTTACCGCTACATACAATAACATATAAAATATGGTAGTATAAAAGAGTCGAGAGATAGGAAGTGTGTGTGAATGCAACAAATTCTCCTTAGTTCTGAACCGAAAGAGGATGCTGAACAGCTGCGTTACGCACCGCCACACTGGTCCTGCACCGGGTATTAATTATGGTATGGGGTGGTATTGGATATCACTCTCACACTCCTCTAGTACGCATTGCCGGTACTTTAAACAACCAGCGCTATACATCTCCGAGTTGTTGGAGCCAGTTGTCCTTCCTTACTTTCAGGGCTTGGCCACAGCTATATTTCAACAGGATAATGCGCGACCACACGTGGCACGCATTGTCCAAAGGTTCTTCGTCAATCACCAGATTGAATTGCTTCCCTGGCCGTCGATAGAAAACATGTGGTTCATGGTTGCTCAACGATTGACCCAGATTACACCCCCAGCTGCCACACCAGATCAACTTTGGCAACGTGTGGAAGCTGCTTGGTCTGCTGTGCCCCAAGAACACATCCAAAGTCTCTTTGAATCAATGTCGAGGCGTGTGGCAGCGGTGATCTCCAACAATGGCGGCTACTCTGGCTACTGATTCTGGCAGGAACCACACTTCACAGAAGTCTGTAAATTTAATCATTTGATACTTGGTCAACATGTTATCTACAAACTAAATTTTGTTGTGCTACCTCTTATCTTTCTTGGTGTTGCATTTACGGTGGCCAGCAGTGTAGTTAAATAAAAAGATAAATAAAATTTTTAACGCGAACCTAGCCCTTGCACCGCTCTACTTTCATTTAGCAAAATCAGTGGTATAGTTTGTGATTTTCAATTTGATACGATTCTCAGCATTCAGTTGTGCAAAACAATTTCTTTGCGAACTCGAAATGTTTTTCAATTGAAGAAATGTTTTGTACATAGATATGTAGAACCAAAAGCGCGGAAAGCAGAGTAAATTCAATTTTCTCTCTCCGAACAATTAAACCTCTCCTGCAATGACATTGAATTATTTTCAAAATAGCCGTAAATTTATCTTTAGAGTTGTCTTTCAGATTTTTTCGTAATTCTGTAAATGTCCATAATTCTAAAGATGTTTGTCAAATAAGGTCCATTACAAATGCATCAACTTCCATCCTCTCAAAAATTAACAAATTTGTAGAAAAGGGTAGAGGGCCACTGAGAATTGTACCGCGTGCCATAGGTTGCCGACCCCTGGTCTTATTATACAAGGTGATTCACTTCCAGACCGACATACTGGTAGGGGGTGTGGGGGGTACAGAGACGACTCAGAATCCCATAGGAATGCAGGGTCGCAAATGCCGCAGTTACGAGCTATGGTGCAAAGAAGCAGAAAAAAGAACAGAAATAGCAACACATTAATAGGAAAGAAAACCTTTTATCAAAAGGTGTACTAAAACAGGTGCTCAAAATTACTACCAAAAGTAGTCTGGTAGACCTGACAGCGACGCTGCATGGAATTCCTTACGTTCTGGAAGATTCCTGGCATGTCACGTATCCTCTCCGCAGCTTCAGATATTCGAGCCTTTGCGACAACTTGTGACGGATCTATACGCGTCTATAACTTGTGAACGATCGATACGGATTTTCACTAATTCCTTCCTTTTCCCTTTCAATCAAAATATTTATTTCAACCAACCTTCATCGGGAAACCAAACGTGATTTATGTAAATGAAAAATGTTATATAAATTCGGTTTTCGCGAATTCAAAGGAGCTAAGTAAGAGGAAGTGAGAAGTCAAGTGAGGTGATTTAAATTAAAGTGAATACAGCGAACGGTTGACAAGTAGTTGTTGACAAGTTAAACAAGGTTGATACGTTTTGATGTGCGCAAAGAGAAGAGGATTAAAAGTATTCAAATTCACTATTACGGAGCGTGGAGTCATCGTCAATTCATACAGTGCCTGAAATTCGCCGTGAAGGAACGGAAGCATTAAAACAACAGGTACTGTGATTTCGATTAAGTAAATTCTGATTATTAGTGTGAGGCGTAGTTGTAAATGTGCGCGTTTAAGCTGTCTTAGATTCAGTTGAAATTCTGTAATATTTTCCCGGCTTGTAATTAGATCTCACCTCTGCACTCTACTCCCGTTTATATACCTTAATTAGTATTGTGTTGTGCCTATTATTAAATATTGATAAGAATCAATAAATCAGTTGAATTGGAATAATGTCTTTTGATCATTTAGTTCCTCCAATACATCTAGCCGGGTTTTCAGATAGACAGGAAGGTATTAATGTAAGGGGTGGCTACAGGTCACCACAAACTAACCCCTTGGGGACTTTTCTGGGGCAATAATATTATCAAACGGGATTATGCAAATCACAGGCATATTATATAAATTCTGTATTCGCGAGTTTAGAGAGTTAGTTGGTGAATGGATGATCGTGAAATTATAATGTGCAAATCGGAGTTTATCAATTGAAGACGTCTAAGAGAGATTAAATCCGGATAAGGATCGCATTCAAGGCCTTAGCTGCTGCTGCCAAAGGCACAAAATAAATTTCGTTATTCATTGGAATGTGACGAATCAAAATGTTTAATTTATTTATTATTACTTTTCTCTTTATATTTAATAACATAAAATATGACAATCATCTTCCAAGTGTTTTGTTCACCTTTCCTGAGACGAAGAGAACCTGCGCGACCTTTGATCTCGACATTTTCAGCTTATGCAAGTTCGAAAGTTTATTCCAACTGGATTCTCTTGGTTCGATGAATTAACTTCTATGACAGAGGAAAAGTTCATGGTGACTGTAGAACGAAATGAACGTCGATCAAACGAGAATTCTTTTTTTCATTATCCTAACAAGAATACTCCATGAGGAGAAAAAAGAAAGAACTTATGAATTTCATTTGTTTTCCAAAGAATATTTGATAGATAGTAAGCATGATGAAAAAAAAAAACGTTTCTAATTTTTCCGAGTTTTTGCTTATCTAGGAATAAAAGTAATTACCTTCCGCGGGGTCCAATGATTTTTTTTTAAAAAAAAGAGATTGATTTTAAAAAAAATGCTATGAACTAAGTGCCTCATATAAAAAGATCAGAGGGATTATATTTCTCTTTTAAAAATCTTTTAATAGTTTTATTAATCTCTGTACCTAAAAAAAACATTCTCTTTTTTTTTTTTTTTTTTGAAAAATACACAAGTATCTACATTTTACAGAGTAAGTGAGTGAAGTGAATATTATCGTCGCACTATTCAGCAACTCGAGTGGTCGCGGGTAGTCAAGTGGTCTAGGCATCGGATCATGGTTAGCGTGTCATGAGTTCGATCCCAGTACCACTAAAGACCCGCCGTGTAGGGAGAGGATGCACGTTAAATCTGTTGAGAGCTCAAACGTCCTCCCGTTGGTGTGTGTGGTAGTTAGGAGAGGGGGTGCCAGCTCAGGTGTCGTCCGCGTCACTTGACCATGGTTCAAAATTACATGGACCGTCGCCAAAAGCCCTCGTGTATAGCTAAGCAGTACGACGTTAATATTCACTCACTCACTCATTCAGCTACTC